TTTGTACATTTTGGTTTTATCTTCTCAAGCTGATCTTTGAAATTTTCTGTTCATTTCTTGCACCTCCTCATTTCTTCGATTTTCTTTAGCATCTCTATGCTGGAGAGCAAGTTTCAGTGTCTCTTCTGACATCCATTTTGACCTTGTCCTTCTTTCTTGTCTTCTCTATGACTTTTTGCTTTCTTCATGTATGATGTTCTTGATGTATGATGTTCTTGATGTCATCCCACAACTCTTCTGGTGTTTGATCTTTAATGTACTAAATCTGTTCTTCAGATGATCTATAAATTCAGGTGGGAAATATTCAAGGTCGCATTTTGGCTCTCGTGGCCTTGTTTTCATTTTTCTTCAGCTTCAGTTTGAATTTGTATATGAGCAATTGATGGTCTGTTCCACAATCTGCCCCTGGCCTTGTTTTCACTGATGATACAGAGTTTTTCCATCATCTCTTTCTGCAGATGTAATCAATATTATTTCTATGTATTCCATCTGGCAAGGTCCATGTGTATAGTCATCTCTTATGCTGTCTAAAGAAGGTATTTGAAATGAACAAATCATTGATTTTGCAGAATTCTATCATGCCATCTCCAGCATCATTTCTATCACAAAGGCCATATTTTCCAAACACTGATCCTTCCTCTTTGCTCCCAACCTTTGCATTCCAATCACCAGTAATGAACAATACATCTTGATTGCATGTTTGATCAATTTCAGATTAAAGAAGTTGGTAGAATTCTTCTATTTCATCCTCACTGGCTTTAGTGGTTGGTGCATAAATTTGAATAATAGTGGTATTAACTGGGCTTCCCTGTAGGTGCATGGATCTTATCCTATCACAGACAGTGTTGCACCTCATGACTGATCTGGATATGTTCTTATTGACGATGAATGCAACACCATTCCTCTTCGATTTGTCATTCCCAGCATAGTAAACCATTTGGTTGTCAGATTCAAAATGGCCAATACCAATCCATTTCAGCTCACTAATACCTAAGATATCCATGTTGATGTGTTCCGTTTCATTTTTGACAACTTCCAATTTTCCCAGATTCAGACTTTGTACATTCCATGTTCTGATTTTCAATAGATGTTTACAGCTGTTTCTCTTCATTTTAAGTTGTGCCCCATCAGCAAATAAAGGTTCTGAGGGCTTTACTCCCACAGGCCTTACTCCATTCCTTACTTTGAGGAGGCAGCTCTTCCCCAGTCGCATTTTGAGTGCCTTCCAACCTGAGGGTATCATTTTTCTCTGCTATTCATGAGGTTTTCAGTATAGGACCCCTATAATCTTCTCATTGACTGAGAAAGGCAGTGTGCCTATGGGCCAGAGGCTGGTTGGCTTGCAAAATGTGCCCTTTGGGCATTTAAATGAATATATATTTTCAATGTTGTGTGTACATGAAGAAAAAAAAACTAAGGTACTAGAGGTAAATACTATTGACTATGGGTGCAAAGACAGTTTGATCCATTAGTGGTTAAAGCTCACCAGCCGACAACAACATTAATAAATTCTGGTTATCAAGTGCTATAGAAAGATTTCTTCTACAATTGGAATATATGAACTGATTTGTTTGTAGCTGGCTAAATTTGTCTTCTAAAAGATTAAAACCACCATGTTATTTTGTTGTTAAGGGCAGTTGAGTCAGATTCAACTCCTGGTGACCCTGCAACAGGTACCAAGGAGTGGCCAGTGAGTTTGAGTCGTGAACTTTATGATCCAAATTGACTTTGCAGTCCAGTGCTTATCCTACAGTATCACACTAGGACCCCCAAACACTATTTTGTAGTTGTGAATTGCCATGGAGTTGGTTCTAACTCATAGCGAACCTTTCAGTCCAAACCGATTTGCAGTTCAAAGCGACTTTGCAATCCAGCACATTAAGCCACACCACCACACCAGGACTCCTCAAAAAACAACTCACTGCCATCTTAATGAATCTGATCTGATTCATAGCAACCCTATATAGGGTTTGTTGTTGTTGTTAAGTGCCGTCGAGTCAGTTCTGACCCATAGCGACCCTGTACAGGGTTTCCAAGGCTGTAAATCTTTACAGGAGCAGAAAACCTCATCTTTCTCCCACGGAACAGCTGGTAGTTTCAAACTGCTGACCCTGAGGTTTGCAACCCGATTCGTAACCACTACACTACCAGAGCTTCTTATAACTGCTATTAGACAACTTATACTCATATATGTACCTAAAATTTTCACTTTTCAACCAAGTCTATACTACAGAGTCAAAAAGAACAGAATACAAAGAGAAAAGCATGAGTTAATATATTCTCTCTGAGGTACTTAGAAAATTTTACCATGTGTTTTCATTACTGACAATCTTTACAGGTTTAAATTTTCCTATTTGAATTGTTTTTCCTAGACCATCTCCATTATTGGAAGGCAGAAAATCCAAAGTAAATAACAGACTATGTGACAAGAGCATAATTGGAAAAAATATTGAATTAGCTGAACATGTGTCAGTACTTACTATTGTACTTTTTTTGTCGATATAAAAGAAGAGTGTAGTTCCTCTCAACTCTGTCCAGTAATGTTTAAACTCCTGCGGGAAAGAAAAAAAATAAGCATTATTTCATTAGTTTATATCCAATTATTTTCCAGTTAATTCTTTCTCTTATGATTTTCTTAATTACTTTTATTATTTAAGGTGGTTCTTCATCCTGAGATTGTTTAAATATTCACCTAATATTTATGGCTTATTTTACTTTTAATTATTTAATGCTTCTCAATTTTACTTTAGTATATAACTTGTGGTAAGTATGTAATTTGATTTGAGTACATTCTCCCAAGCTTTCCTCACTGGTTTAAGATACATGACTTTTTATGCATTTTTAGCAGAAACTTACACAGACAAGATAGCCAATCTAAGGGGCCAGAAAAGGAAAAACATTTAATATCTGCTTTGAAGGACAGTTGAAATAATTACTATGTGTAAAGCACTAGCATAGTGTTCAGCTCATAGTTTGTCAATAATGGTAGATATTATTGCTATCACAAGGAGACTTGAGAAATTTATAATGGTGAAAACAATTCAGTATCTTTAGAGTTGAGCCTTGAGATTCAAATTTCTTTCAGGTTATTGTTGCTATTTTTAGGTGCCATTGAGGACTGCTCAGTATAGCACCATCCTCACAGTCTTGTCATTGTTGCTGCCACTGTGTCAATCCATCTTATTCAGGGTCTTCCTCTTTTTCACTGACCTTGTTAAGGCCACAAAGTTGTTTCTGACTCATAGTGACCCTGAAAAGAGTTTCCAAGGAGTGACTGATGGTTTGAACTGCTAACTGCAAGGTTAGCAGTCCTGTACTTAATGTACAGTGCCACACCAGGACCCAAATAATTCTTTAATATTTCAACTTGAGGCTTGAATTTTTCTTCACTTCTTTCAGCCTGAGAAATGCTGAGCATGTTCTTTTTGTTTTTCTGACTCCAGGTCTTTGCACATTCATCCTAATACTTTACTTTGTCTTCTTGAGCTGCCCTTTGAAATGTTCTGTTCAGCTCTTTTACTTCATCATTTCCTCCAGTTGCTTTAGCTTCTATGTTCAAAAGCAAGTTTCAGAGTTTCTTCTGGCTTCAACTTTGATCTTTTTTTTTTTGTCTCTTTAATGATCTTTTACTTTCTTCATGTATGATATTTTTTAATGTCATCCCACAACTCTTCTGATCTTTGATCATTAGATCATTAGAACACCAAATCTGTTCTTGAGATGTTCTCTAAATTCAGGTGGGATATATTCAAGGACATATTTTGTCTCTGGTGGACTTCTTTTAATTTTCTTCAGCTTTAGCTTGAACTTTATTTATGAGAGATTAATTATCTGTTCAACAGTCAACTCCTATCATTGTTTTGGCCGATGATATTGAGCTTCTGAATTGTCTCTTCCCACAGATGTAGTAATTTGTTTCCTATATATTTCATATGGTGGGATCCATGAATAGAGTCATCATTGATAATATAGACAGAAGTATTTTTAATAACTAAGTCATTGGTCTTGAAAAAGTCTATCATATGATCTACAACATCATTTCTATTACCAACGCCATATTTTCAAACCATCTATCCTTCATCTTTCTTTGTTGTTGTTGTTGTTATTGGAGTTTTTCTTAATGGCCTGATTCATTCTTCTTTTGTTATATTGTCTATTCAAGTTTTCGACTTCACTCTGTGTTAGTTTAGGTAGGTGATATTTTTCTAAAAATTTATCTATTGCTTTTAGATTTTCAAAGTTATTGGAGTACAACTCTTCATACTATTTGTTATTATCCTTTTTTATTTCCATTTGCTCTGTTGTGACATATAATTTCTTATGCATGCTATTTGCATCTTCTCCCTCTTTTCTTTTGTTAGATTTGCCAGTTTTATTAATCCTTTCAAAGAACCAGCTTCTTGTCTTGTTGGTTCTTTCTATTGTTTTTATGTTTTCTAATTCATTCATTTCTGCTCTAATCATTATTATTTCTTTTCTTCTGGTGAGTGTAGGCTTACTTTGCAGTCTTTTTATAATTGTTGAAGATGTTGTGTTAATGTGTTGATTTTGGCTCTTTTTTCTTTTTGGATGTGTATATTTATTGCTATAAATTGCCCTCTAAGCATTGCTTTTGCTGTGTCCCAAAGGTATATTGGTATATTGTACTTTCGCTCTCATTTGCTTCGATAAATTTTTAATTTTGTTTTCAAAAATTTGTTCTATTATCTAGTAGTTTTTAGGCAAGATGTCATTCAGTTTCCATTTATTTGATTTTGTTTCCTTAATCTTCCTATTGTTGAGTTCTAATTTTGTAGCATTTTGTTCTAAGAAGATGCTTTGTAGTATTTCAATGTTTTCAAATTTATTGAGACTTGCCTAGCACATGGTATATTCTGAAGAATGTTCCATGTACATTAGGAAAGAATATGTACTGTGTATTGTGCTATTGTTGAGTGGAGAGCTCTGTGCAAATCTATGAGGTCAAGCTGATTGTTGTGTTTAGTCCCTCTGTGTCTATTTTGTTTCTTTATGGTAGTAGGGTATTAAAATCTCCTACTATTTTTGTTGTTGTTGTTAAGTGCCATCAAGTCAGTTCTGACCCATAGTGACCCTGTATAGGGTCTCCAAGAAACAGCTGGTGAGCTTAAGCTGCCAACCTTGCAGTTCAAACTGACTTTGCAGTCTAGCACTTTAACTCGCAGCGCCACATCAGAGTTACCTATTTCTTTCTTCAATTCTATTAAAGTTTGACTTATGCATTTTGAGGCTATTTCATTGGGAGCATGGGTATTTATTATGGTTATGTCCTCTTGTTCAATTGACCCTTTAATCATGAGACACTATCCTTCCTTGTCTGTTATGCTGGTTTTTGCCTTAAAGTCTATTTTATCAGGGCTTAATGTTTCCACTCCTGCTCATTTTAAAATGCCATTAAGTTGATAATTTTTTCCAGTCTTCAATTTTTAATCTATGTTTGTTTTGGTGTGTCTCTGGTAGACAACATATTAAAGGATCCTCGTTTCTTATCCATTCTGCTACTTGATAGGTGCATTTAATCTATTGATGTTCAGCATAATTATCCATAGGTATGAATTGATTGTAGTCATTTGCTGTATGTTTTTGGTGATACTGCTAGTTTCTCTATTCCACATGTTTTCCTGTGTTGAGTTCATTTTTCTGTTCTTTTTCCTGTCAATTTTGTCATAGTTTTACTGTTCACAAAATCTTTTTGGTTTTTCCTTTCCTTGATTTGATCTGAAAGTATATTAAGTTTCTTTGAGGTTGTCCTGTGATTTATTTATTTATTTCCTAATTTAGTCTGTTTCATCTTATCTTGAAATCTACTTGACTTCCTCACCATTTGGTATTCTGTAACTATATTTTCCCCTCATTTTGCTTTTTAGTTGTGTTCTTTATAGATTGATACTTCTGATTCCCTATTTTCAGTCCTGTAGTTTTGTTTTATTCCAGATACTTCTATACCCAATTTGTATTCTGGATGGTGTTGCAGTCTAGATCAATCTGTAGTTGTTGACTGCTGTTGTTGGTTCTCAGTCCAAAGGACTTAGTTGTTGTTCTTGTTAGGTGCCAACAAGTCTGTACCAAGTCATAGGGACCTTATGCACAACAGAACAAAACACTGCCTGGTCCTGGGCCAAACTCACAATTGTTGTTATGCTTGAGCCCATTGATGCTGCCACTTTGCCAATCCATCTTGCTGGGGGTCTTCTTTTTCTTTGGCTCTCCACCTTACCACCTTCTTCAGTGACTGGCCCTCTTGACAATATGTCCAAAGTATGAGAGATGATGTCTGGCCATCCTGGCTTCCAAGGAGCAGTCTGGCTGTATTTCATCCAACACAGATCTGTTTGTTCTTTTAGCAGCCCAAAGGACTACCTTTAGTATTTTTTGTAAAGTTGGCTTAGTTTTTACATACTCTTTTAATTTCTGGTTATCTGGAAATATCCTCATTTTACCATCATATTTGAGGGACAGTTTTGCTGTGTGTATGATTATTAGTTAGCAGTTGGTTGTTTTTTTTTTCACAGTTTTACATATCTCCTCATTGCCTCCTTGCTTGCATAGTTTCTTCTGAGAAATCAGAGTTTAATCTTAATGGTTTTGCTTTGTAGGTAACACTTCATATTTACTGATCTACTTTCAGGATTCTTTCCTTGTGTTTGAATTTGGAGAGTTTGATAACAATATGTCTTGGTGGTTCTCTTTTGGCATCTATCCTGTTTGGGGTTCCTTCAGTTCTTGAATACTTATTTCTTTATCTTTCAAGGTATTAGGGAAATTTTCTTCCAACAGCTCTTCAACTATCTTTTCTGTTGGTTTCTCTGTCTTTTCCTGTTCTGGAATTCTAATTATCCATAGGTTATACCTCTTCATGTTGTCCCACATATATCTTTGACTTTCTTCAGATTTTTAAGTTATTTTTTTATTGGTCTTCTAACCTACTAGTGTTGCCAGATTTATCTTCAAGATCATTAATTCTAGCTTTCATTGATTCAAATCTACTCCTCTGTACTTTCAGCGTATTGTACACTTTTGATATCTTAGTATTGATCCTCTGGGTTCTGCTTGTAGGTTTTATATTGTCTCCAATCCATTATCTATTATGTTCGATTGTTCCTGTAGCACTTTTTTGAATTCTTCCTCAACCTTTCTGTACATTGTTTGGAGGTACCTAACTATCATTCTCCTGAATTCTTTTTCAGATAGTTCCAGTGTCTCTTCTTCCTCAAAAAACTTTTCTAGCTCTGCCTCTTGGTTATGTTTGATCTACTTTGTCTTGTTTCTTCATGTGATCAGAAATTTTCTACTGATTTCTAGGCATTGTGGTGTTTTTGTGTTTGTATTAAGTTGATGAATGTATGTTGGTGTATTTTTAGGCACTCACCAACTGCCTCCTGGTAGGTTTGATCAGAGATGACCTGTTCATACAATTCAATTCAGATGTCATTCATACAGTTCAGTTCAAGTTAGCTGATATTGCCCAATTAGTGGGGTTGTAGAAGGTATGGCTGTGGCTTGGCTGTATGGCTGCAGTTGCAGTCTCCTGTCA